TAGTTAATAAGTCAATATTGACTTTACGAATTTGCGAGAACGGGTTGCATAATAGCCGCCTTACTGCTGTGCATAAACCCTCCCATAATGAAAACAACATGAATTGTTTTGTTGCACAGTGACGGATTGTCACGCTTGTCGTGTTGCCAAGTGTAACACGAGGCACTTGGCCAGCAAGCGCAGCTTCGCAGACAACCCCAAGATGGCTCTTACAATACAAGACGTTCACCCAAGAAGCCCAGCACCATGGACAACCACAATCAGGTATTGTAAAACGAGACGTTCAGCCAATAATACTTTCATTCCATGTGCGCCTTCCTCTCTATCAGCGCCTGCAGCAGGCGTTCATCCCTCGCCCATCTCCCGCTTTCAACATCTCCAGATACAGTATCGTATCGTATCCTCACGACATACACATGACCATGAAATCTCGGCAAGTGACATAATGGCGGCTCAGACTAAAGATGGCTCCAGCTTCGACTTATCTACGATATGACTTCACCCTAACACTAAATAAATTAAGCTTCCTCACTCTAAAGCAGCTTGTATGGAGAGGAACGGCGAGGGGAAGGGCGAGTTAGTCGTCTGAGACAACTGCTTCTGTCTGGAAGTTGTATGTTGGAACTATAATTATTTGGATTAAGAAAGATAAATAAGAATACAAGAAAAACAGAGACTAGACGGTAAGGGGGGAGAGCAGAGAGACAGATAAGACAAAGAAGACGAGAAGATAAACAAATTAAAGAGGTTTAACAATGAAGAAATGGACGATAGGAAGGAACGAAGGACAGAAAAAATATGGGAGGAAACAAATGGATAAAAATATTTCGTTTGAAAATTTTTAATGAGCTAATTTGATAAGATGTTTTTGGAAACTTGTTCCATAGATCTTCAAACCAATTTTGGAGTCAGTGACGTTGTTTTGGCTAATGTTGTTCTTCACTTGTGTGTGTAAAGCAGGACACATACGGTGAACAATGAACAAATCCACTAGGGCCGTGACGAGGATTCGAACCTGCGTCCGGGAGCATCCCAGACACTGCCTTAATCGACTGAGCTACGACAGGGTAAAAGGGTTGAAACCGAAGTTTCGTAGGTTCGAATCCTCGTCACGGCCCTTGTGGATTTGTTCATTTGATGCATCACGTTATTGTGATCTCTGTGTGTAATGGTGAACAATGTTGTTCTTCACTTGTGTGTGTAAAGCAGGACACATACGGTGAACAATGTTGTTCTTCACTTTGTGTAAAGTAGGACACACAGAACAATGTTGTTCTTCACTTGTGTGTGTAAAACAGGATACATACAGTGAACAAGAGGGTTCTCAGGACGGAGCACAGCTCCAGCTGCTACTGCTCTCCACACTCACTGTACTCTATATATATGCTGGTATGCTGCCCCTTGACCCCTGCGTCACGACCATATCCTGGTATGCTGCCCCTTGACCCCTGCGTCACGACCATATCCTGGTATGCTCCCCTTGACCCCTGCGTCACGACCATATCCTGGTATGCTGCCCCTTGACCCCTGCGTCACGACCATATCCTGGTATGCTGCCCCTTGACCATTGCGTCACGACCATATCCTGGTATGCTGCCCCTTGACCCCTGCGTCACGACCATATCCTGGTATGCTGCCCCTTGACCATTGCGTCACGACCATATCCTGGTATGCTGCCCCTTGACCCCTGCGTCACGACCATATCCTGGTATGCTGCCCCTTGACCCCTGCGTCACGACCATATCCTGGTATGCTCCCCTTGACCCCTGCGTCACGACCATATCCTGGTATGCTGCCCCTTGACCATTGCGTCACGACCATATCCTGGTATGCTGCCCCTTGACCCCTGCGTCACGACCATATCCTGGTATGCTGCCCCTTGACCATTGCGTCACGACCATATCCTGGTATGCTGCCCCTTGACCCCTGCGTCACGACCATATCCTGGTATGCTGCCCCTTGACCATTGCGTCACGACCATATCCTGGTATGCTGCCCCTTGACCCCTGCGTCACGACCATATCCTGGTATGCTCCCCTTGACCCCTGCGTCACGACCATATCCTGGTATGCTGCCCCTTGACCCCTGCGTCACGACCATATCCTGGTATGCTGCCCCTTGACCCCTGCGTCACGACCATATCCTGGTATGCTGCCCCTTGACCATTGCGTCACGACCATATCCTGGTATGCTGCCCCTTGACCATTGCGTCACGACCATATCCTGGTATGTTGCCCCTTGACCCCTGCGTCACCACCGTGTACTCGTATGCTGTCCCTTGACCCCTGCGTCACCACCGTGTCCTCGTATGCTGCCCCTTGACCCCTGCGTGTCCTCGTATGCTGCCCCTTGACCCCTGCGTCACCACCGTGTACTCGTCCAGGTCATGAGGTCACCTCTAGTACACAATGATCCTAACTTCCTTACCTTGTCCCGCTCCTAGGCGGGGCCCTGTGATAGTTCTCATTGTATTCAGTCGCGATTTTGCTTTATCGTTCACATATTGAATTTGCTTGTTGAATGTCATTTTAGAATCGATGTCCTGAAGGTTAATGTCCTGAATACGTAGGTGCCTGTCTGGAGTGTTGCCGCCTAGTCTCATGCCTTTGGACTTCTGTGCAGATATTTTTAGCCCTAAAAGGCTGCTTTCAGATGTTACTTCATCTAATGCCCCTTGAACATTATTTAAAAGTGAAGGACCTGTAATGACTAATGCTACATCATCAGCATATCTTAGCTAATTAACCCCCTTCTGCAAATGTCATGGTAACGAGGTTTTCCATAAGGATGTTAAAAAGACTAGGACTGAGGACTCCTCCTTGTGGAGTCCCATTCTCATGCAAGTCGGAGTCCGATACTTGTCTCCGGTGTGACGTCATGGACCCTGTCTCCGGTGTGACGTCATGGACCCTATTTCAATTGTGACGTCATGGACCCTATTTCAAGTGTGACGTCATGGGGTCCTATTTCGGTATTTCCCCACAGAAAATGAAGCCAGTGACGTCACAAGCCGAGTACACAACACCCAGCCCTGATTGGCTGCTGACGGGGATGGCCAACAAATAAAATCGACTCATCCAACGCAGTGTTGCCAGCACACATGTCTAATATTTGTTTTTCATTTATATATTTTAGAATGGAGTGAACCTTTGATGAGTGTTTTCTTTTGATGAATGAGTTTGCTCAATTACTTTATTTTTATAGATAATATTTGCAGCGAATAAATGACTGAGTTTGATGAAAGTTTTTTTTAAGTGCGATAGTTTAGTGAAGATGGAAGGGAAGAGGGACATGCAGACCCGGCCAGCCAGAACAAACTAATAAGATGATAATGTGACTAAATTAAAAGTAAATGGTATTCAAAATTTAATGTTTTTAAATGTGATGTTTAAAAATGTTACTAAAAATGTTAAGGGTTGTACTGTGTGGGCCTTGGGCCTGTGACTGGCCGCCCCTGTGAGGATATAACTTCCTTATTTGACGCAATATTTATCCCCTAGAATACGACGCACAGTTTATTTTACATCCAGGTACCCATTTATTGCTGGGGGCAAAGGTGCTGCAGTGAAGGTAACGGTGCCCAATCGTCCCTCCTTGTCTGGGGTTACAACTCTGGTTATTTTACTCGTATTCTTGATATTTATTGATCTCCTCTTTATTTTCTGTTACTCTATATCAACAAATACACATCCTTCTGTGTTCCCTGGGTCCCCTGGGTCCTCTGGGTCCTCCAGGTCCCTTGGGTCCCTTGAGCCTCTACGTCCCCTGGGGTCCCCTGGGTCCTCTAGGTCCTTTGGGTCTTCTAGGTCCCATGGGTTCACTAGGTCCCCTGGGTCCTCTAGGTCCTTTGTGTCCCCTGGGTCCTCTAGGTCTCCTGGATCCCCTGGGTACTCTAGGTCCCTTGGGTCCCCTGGGTCCCCGGGGTCTTCTAGGTCTCCTGGGTCCCCAAAAAATCTTATGTAATTTTAAAGATATTAATTTAAAAATGAGCATATCTTGGAATTTACAGCCTATGAAATCACTTGACGGTAGACCGATGGTCTCGCTTCATGCAGGTCCGCGTTCAATCCCTGACTGTTGAAATGGCGGTGCACTTCCCTTCCCCCCTCATCTGATCCCTGATACATATCCTGGTCCCATTCAAGTGCTACCTGTATGTAATAGCTTAGCCTTTTCTCCTGATAATTTCCATCTATTGCTCCTCACGTTTCAAAAGCGAGAATGACCGAGGGTCGAACCTTCGTTTGGATGAGACAACCGAGCATCCCACCTTCGCTGAAGCACTTGCGCAACAGCAGTAATTACGTAGTTGGATGTAAAACTTTCCAGGGTTCCAGTACCTGATTCCAGATCTAACTATCCCCCTATCCCCACTGATCCGAAAAGAAAATACTAATACAATATCATATTTACAAATACCTGTTTACAAAATAGGAAAATGAATAAATTAGTGATATAAAGTGAGGAAATATAACTTCAAGAGCAGAAGGAAACATAAAACAAGGAGATAAAGCAGACGATGAACAAATAGGACTTGTAAGACAGGTTTAAAGTAGAAAATATTATCAAGAAGAGTGAGATGTAATATGAGAGAGGCCACGGAAGATGACAAGCAGGTGATGCAATACATCAACGATTGTATTAAAGATGTTCAAACAATACATCAAAGATGACAAAGAAGTGATCCAATAAGTAACAAAAATTAGGAAGAAGAATGGGAAGCATTCGACAACAAAGTTAAACAAAGTCTACGAGGTTCAGAAGGCCAAGAAAAGTATTAAAGCCACCCTACCCCCTCCCCTCCCCTACCCCCTCCCCAGTATACACGAGGCCGCGCCGAAATCATTATACGAAGGGGTAAAATAACGAAGAGAATGCGCAGGGAACTTAAAAAAACATAATAGTTTATAAAGTAATTAAACGTAACAAATAAGATAGGAAAACTCCAAGAAACTCGTAGATAAAATACAGAAGAGTCGACGTAGGGCGTGAGCACTCACCCGAGTCTGCATGTTGGTGGACTTGTCAGGGAGGAGGAAGACCCTGACGTAGGAGTCGACGGCCGCGTGAGGGTCGGGGCCCACCAGGTCCCGCCCCTCCACCACCACCACCTCCAGGTCGGCAGTGTCGCTGAGGGACAAACACAACCACAGTTAGTGAGAGAAACGCCTCCCATCACACACTCCTCACTTTAAAAGGTATATACGGAACATGTGGGATAACATATACTTGTTCGCAGCTTAGGAGAGAGAGAGAGAACATCTTCTGCACTACGGTAAAATAAAAATATTTTCAGTTGCTTCATACCCCACCCGAACACAGCGGCCACACCTGACACCAGTCCTGTGTACCAGTATACACCTACACACCCGTCCTGTGTACCAGTATACACCTACACACCCGTCCTGTGTACCAGTATAAACAACGCATATAGTACAATATAACAGTACAGTCACTAACAAGAGCAGTAAAGTCACTAACAGTTGCACTAAAGCCATAAACAATGGCAGCAAAATAACTAATTACAGAGTAAACTCATTAATAATAGCAGTAAAAATCACTAACAATAGAAGTAAATTTTCTAGCCATAGCAGTAAGGGCATTATCAATAGCACTAAATTGACTAAAATAGCAGTAAAGTCACTAATAATAGTAAAATTACTAACAATAGCAGTAAAGTCGCTAACAATAGCAATAATAATGTTACTAACAATAGCAATAATAATGTTACTAACAATAGCAATAATAATGTTACTAACAATAGCAATAAAGTGGCTGACAATAGCAATAGATCTCTATCAATAACAAAAAAGTCCCTAACAATTGTAGTGGATTATAAATATTTATTTTTCATTATTATAATTAAGAGTAATTATGAGGAGAAAACACAGAGCCACTAACAATAGCAGTAGAACCAACAGCGATGAACAACCAATCAACGAGACTAGTGTGGCAAATAATACCAGTAAACAAAATAGAAACACAATCTAATTTATTCTAATTAGATAGTGTTTATAATTCAAAGTCATTTTGCTGTAGAGATGAGTGGAGCCAATCTCACGGCACTATATCCACCTTATATCTCCTCCCCAGACAACCCGTCCTCACACTAGGCTGGTTAAAGCAGCGGCCGTCCTCCCCAGACAACCCGTCCTCACACTAGGCTGGTTAAAGCAGCAGCCGTCCTCCCCAGACAACCCGTCCTCACACTAGGCTGGTTAAAGCAGCAGCCGTCCTTCCCCCAAGACGCATTCTTCAATTTTAACATACTGTGCATTAATAATTGGTTTGCTCTCGTATATAAGTTATTATTATTATTATTATACATACAAGTTATGTTAGGTTAGGTTAGGTGTTTAGGTTCTGTTGGCAATTTTTTTGTATATGTAGTACGTGGGTGAAGCATTTACAGCGTTGTGGTTCGAACAAAATTCGTCAGTGAAGCACTTGTTCCGGAAGTGTTCGAACGTCAGCAGTTGTGAGTCGTGTGTAAACCGTTTTTCATTCATAAACACCTGGGGGGTTTGGCGGGTGCATGGAATCACTTTTGGGTCTTTGTTTGGAAGACGGACTGCACTTCTGGACTTCTGCTCTGTTGAATCTAAGTTGAAATTTTATTGTTTATAACTATGCACTGTGTTAGACAATGTTCCAGTGGTCTGTTGTGGCTATAAATGTGCACTGTGTTAGACAATGTTCCAGGTGGTCTGTTGTGGCTATAACTGGGCACTGTGTTAGACAATGTTCCAGTGGTCTGTTGTGGCTGTAACTGTGCACTGTGTTAGACAATGTTCCAGTGGTCTGTTGTGGCTGTAACTGGGCACTGTGTTAGACAATGTTCCAGTGATCTGTCTGGAATTTCTCCACAGTGCTGACATGATGGTGACGGTAAGAACGACGATGATGGTGAACCATTCAGTGTAGTGTACTCACCTAGTTGTGCTTGCTTACACAGGTTCCTGAAGGCAGTTGTGATGTTAGCCAGCCTCGCACACGCCGCGAGTGTGGCTCTCCACCTAGGACCCCACACATACCCTGGACTTAAGCAGCACAAAATTCTCAGCATATAGACTCACATTTTCTCTCTTACTATTCAGTACCGCACGAGGCCAACCACTACAGCCATTTAGAACACGAGTGCAACGAACAACCAAAACCTCTGTCACTATATATTACAGTTTACTAGCTATCAACAGCAGCATCACCGTGGACTATAGCAGTCAGTGTAACTAAAAATATAGCCGTATAGAAATCAAGTGCGTTTCTGCCCGAAACGCATTGCGTAATAGTGGCTTTAGGCATTGTATGTACTAGCTCTATCTATATATTGATCCATTAATGTAACATCACTTGTATGTATGTACCTTACCTGAATAAACATTTATTTTAAGTGTAGCAGTAAAGCCACTTAGTGTAGAGACAGACATAACAAGACATCAATCACAAGGGTGCAGCCATCACGTACAGTGTGGACAGCAGCTGCTCACCCGTTACCCGTGTACATTAATCACCTACGGCACAACAAAAGGTTAAACCTTGAATGAACAATGATCAATTAAACTGTGCTGGATATGTGTGTGTGTGTGTGTGTGTGTGCGCGCGTGTACTCACCTAATTGTGCTTGCGGGGGTTGAGCTCTGGCTCTTTGGTCCCGCCTCTCAACTGTCAATCAAATGGTGTACACGTTCCTGAGCCTATTGGGCTCTATCATATCTACACTTGAAACTGTGTATGGAGTCAGCCTCCACCACATCACTTCCTAATGCATTCCATTTGTCAACCGCTCTGACATTAAAAAAGTTCTTTCTAATATCTCTGTGGCTCATTTAGGCACTCAGTTTCCACCTGTGTCCCCTAGTGCGTGTGCCCCTTGTGTTAAATAGCCTGTCTTTATCAACCCTATAAATTCCCTTTAGAATCTTGAATGTGGCGATCATGTCCCCCCTAACTCTTCTGTTTTCCAGCGAAGTGAGGTTTAATTCCCGTACTCTCTCCTCGTGGCTCATACCTCTCATCTCGGGTACTAATCTGGTAACAAACATTTGAACCTTTTCCAGTTTGGTCTTATTCTTGACTAGATATGGACTCCATGCTGGAGTCGCATACTCCAGGATTGGTCTGACATATGTGGTATACAAGGTTCTGAAAGATTCCCTACACAAGTTTCTAAAGGCCGTTCTTATGTTAGCCAAGCTGGCATATGCTGCTGATGTTATCCTCTTGATATGAGCTTCAGAGGACAGGTCTGGCATGATATCAACCCCCAGGTCTTTATCTCTCTCTGACTCTTGAAGTATCTCATCTCCCAAATGATACATTGTATCTGGTCTCCTGCTTCCTACCCCTATCTTCATTACATAACATTTGATTGGGTTAAACTCTAACAGCCATTTGTTCGACCATTCCTGCAGCTTGTCCAGGTCTTCTTGAAGCCTCAAGCTGTCCTCCTCTGTCTTAATCCTTCTCATAATTTTGGCGTCGTTAACAAGAGGGTGAGGGGCTGTCTACAGGAGGGTGAGGGTTTGACTACAGGAGGGTGAAGGTCTGAATACAGGGAATACAGAAGGGTGAAGGTCTAATTACAGGAGGGTGAGGGTCTGACTACAGGAGGGTGAGGGGGCTGACTACAGGAGGGTGAGGGTCTGACTACAGGAGGGTGAGGGGCTGACTACAGGAGGGTGAGGGGCTGACTACAGGAGGGTGAGGGGCTGACTACAGGAGGGTGAGGGGCTGACTACAGGAGGGTGAGGGGGCTGACTACAGGAGGGTGAGGAGCTGACTACAGGAGGGTGAGGGGCTGACTACAGGAGGGTGAGGGGGCTGACTACAGGAGGGTGAGGGGGCTGACTACAGGAGGGTGAGGGTCTGACTACAGGAGGGTGAGGGGCTGACTACAGGAGGGTGAGGGGCTGACTACAGGAGGGTGAGGGGGCTGACTACAGGAGGGTGAGGGGCTGACTACAGGAGGGTGAGGGGCTGACTACAGGAGGGTGAGGGGCTGACTACAGGAGGGTGAGGGGCTGACTACAGGAGGGTGAGGGGCTGACTACAGGAGGGTGAGGGGCTGACTACAGGAGGGTGAGAGAGTACTTGTAGGAGTTCAATGGGAAAGAGACTCGGAGGGAGAGACAAAAAAATTCATGAAATAATTGTTTTCTGGTAAACGTTGAGACGCAGGAGAACACCATCCCACTCGAGCTGAAAACTTGAAAATTATGCTAAACTATTAGTTTATCGGGCAATACAATTAAGCGAAGTAGAGAATAAAAATAAAAATGAAAACAATGCAGATAACAAATCACAGAGGATAACAGATAGACGCTAAAATTTGAGAACTGAGTAGCAGTCTAAAAACAACATGGCAGAAATGAATACGAACCTTAGTGTTGCTTAGCGTATAAAAGCAAAAAGAGACAAAGTTTGATGTGTCTGTCTGAGTAAACAAGAAGGTTTTCTCACGGAAAGCAACAGAATGTGTGAGGAACTTAACAAGTGAGTTATAAAGGTCTATAAACAATAATCAGTTTGGATATCTTATGTGGTAGACAACAGGCGACCAAGAACACACTAAGATATTATAGTAGTGATGATGAAGAGATAAAATAGCAACTGGAGGGTCTAGGTGCAGCCAAAGCAATAGGTCCAGACTTGATATCACCATGACTGTCGAAGAAGGTTGCGGGGGACATTTGTAACAAGTTAACTAAAATGTTTATTAAAACATACGAAACTGGAGATCTCCGTAAGTCTGGAATCTGGAGTCATACACTTGAGTCGGTGACGTGTAGCCTTTGCAAACTGCTGGAGAAGGTAATGAGGACGAGAATAAAGTAAGACTTATAGAGGATAACCGTGGCCACGGAGGAGCGACACGGGAGAAGTATGGTGAAGTCTTAACAGACAATCGTGATACTTCTATGACAAGATCACCGCAACTGGATAAGGTTTTATGTGACTTATCAACCAGAGTTAGTCAGCTCATACGTGTCAGTGTTTGCTGATGATGCACAACGAAAAACCAACTAGAAACCAGGGAGAACTACTGAGAACTGCAGGAAGTTTTGACAAAGTGCAGGAGTAGGTAGACAAATTGATGTTAGACTGCAGCACCAATGAAGATGAGGAAG